AATATATGCTCGACATATCCGGTTCGTTATAAAATCTAACTAAATTCTAAAAACTGCCACAATGGACCATTCCCGGGGACAGGCGATGCCATTTGTTGTGTCCGCCTGTCCGAGTGTCCGCCCGACCTAACTGACTATGGCGAAACTTTGGTCAACTTACGAACTTGGCAAGTTGGCAAAATTTTCATTTTCAATACAGCGTTTCATCGAAACTTCTGCTGACTGACGGACGGCGCCAATGATAATGGAAGGACATCGATTGATTTCAGAGCAAACTATTTGCGTCGAACAAACTACGAGCCGAATGCGAATCGAGTGCCTCAGTTGGCTGCTGTTTCTGGGACGCCGTACAGCAAATTGTCCAGCTTCAGTTTGTTTATCTTGTCGGCAACGGGCGCCCCGTGGCCGGGCCGTCCCCAGAACGTTTCGAATGTGTCGAAGTGCTGATTGCACAGGTCGCGCTCTCTCTGCCTCGAGACGCTGACCGAGCGCCGCTTCTGCGATATTTGCACATTCAGATCGTGCAGGTAGCGCATGTCCGCGGCCGTTTGTATCCTGCAAGGATGTTGGTCGATCGCAGTTGGCATCGCATTGATGCGTTGATGTTGTCGATTGTTGCATTGATCGATAGGTTTGTTATCAAAGTATTTCGATTTCAATATCAGTTTCGGTTTCGGTTTCGGTTTTGCAAACGTTTTTGCACGGGGATACATAGAAGATTTGCATTATCATTGGGTTGTTTTGTGGTTCGGTTAGGTTTGGTGAGTTTGGGTTTGCTCTTTTGGTTGCTATACTTTCACTTGTATTACAATTGATATTTTCTTGCTGGATGAGCCAAAAGAAGTGATAGAGAAACCATTATAAACACAAGGATGACGCAATCATTTGCAAATTATAGTCAATATGAGCCTGGCGAGGTCAGGTCAGTTCAGTTCAGCTCAGCTCAGCCCAGCCCGGATTTGAGATTTTCGCAGAGCAAGCAAATGAGTAATGCCAACAGAAACGGAAGTGAAGGTTATGCGGGTGCAAACACGGATCGAATCGATAAGTCAGAAAATGAGACAGAGACAGAGACAGACGGAGAAAGAGAGAGAGAGACAGCTACATATGCAAATACAAAGACAACAAAGACTGCAGCAGAGACAACAGTTGGGGGCAGTCGGGAGACTTGCCTAACGAATGTGCAGGGTGAGGCGCTTGAGGCAACAGGCCGGTGCTCGGTGCTCGGCTTTGTCGCACTTGCAGTTGCCGTTGCAGTTGCAGTTGCAGCTGCAGCTGCAGCTGCAGCACTGCAGCTTGCAGTTGAGGTTCTTGGAATGACGCTTCATGTGGCTAATGTTTTTGATGATGTTACTGATGCTCTGCGCTTTGTTGGACTTTGTCTTGTGCTTGGGTGGTGCGTACCTATCATGGGAGGGCGTCCGCTTGGTCACGTCCGTGCTGGAGAGGCTGATGGGCCGGTGTAGTCCGCGCCGGCGCGCCAGCAGTGGCACCAGCTCCACGCCGCCTCCTGCGTTCTCCGCACTGGGGTCCGGCGTGGCCAGCGAGGTGCTGTTGGTGGTGCTGCCCGCGCAGAGGCCTCGAGGCAGCTGGGGGCAAGGCTTGTGGGGCTTGCACTCCTTGGCCGGGGATCGCAGGCCGCAGGCAGGCGGCGCTGGGATCTTTCGGGAAGGTTTCAGTGGACTATTGGAGCTGTTGATGGCGGGGCAGTTGCAGGTGCATAGCTCGCAGCAGCGCTGCGGCTTGGGTGGCTTGTTGCCTCTGGACTTGCGGAATGTGTTCTTCTCAGCCGGAGTCACGGGGTTGTCCTGGTCTAGCTCCTTCAGCATTTCCTTATTTGTCCAGCCCTACAATCAATAGAATCTCCCTCAAAAAGGCGCACTCCCCCAGCTTGTCAGTGGAGCTTACCAGCGATTTCATGAAAGTGTTGCCTACTTGCTTGGGACTGCGCCACGGCTTGCCCCCTGGCCCGGCCTTGCCCCAGGGCTCCTTGCAGGGCTGGAAGAGAGAGATGGCAAATGAATGGATTAATGAGATCGCTCAAGGGTGGACAGTAGCTGTCGCTCACCGGCTTTTCCAGCTTCGCCTGGAGCTTCTTTTTCTGGTTGGCCAGCTTTTCTTGGAGCGGATGCTCGCTCTCGCTGTTGACCACAATCTTGTCGAGCATCGGCTTGCCCTTGCAGGGCGGCGAGGGCTTGTAGCGCAGCTCAATGTCCAGATGCCCTTTATTGCGAAACGACATTGAGGGATGCTCTTTCAGTTCGATGTGAATACTCTCACCGTTGGCATTGTGGCCCAGGCTAACGCCGGGCTTCAGCGGGAGCTCGCGCTCGCAGATGGTCACAGTGCTGCTCCGAGGGCCGCTCTCCTGCAGATGATGAATCGAGTGGGCGTGACTCAGCCGGCCGCCCGCCCCGGGCGGGTGATGGTGGTGGTGGTGATAGACGGCCAGTGGGTTCTTGTGGCACTTTTTCTGCATGGTGAAGTAGTCGTTGTAGCGACAAGGCTGCAGCGAGTTGATGCGATGGGCGGTCGTCTGGGCGGCGGGCATGCAAATGGGATACGCATTACGTAAGCAGCGAGCGACTGCAGCGACAGACTTACCACTGTGGGCGTCGAGTGCAGTCCGACTGCGGTGATGTCCTTGCGTCGCACCTCCACGTTGGGCGCCCCGCCACCTGGCCTGCCCCACGGGCAGTGCTGCAGAAACAAATCATAGTACTGCAAATAACAAAAAAAAAAAAAACTAAATAGAGAGGGATGTTGATAACAGCCAGTGTGTGGGTGTCCATTTATGGGTTTATGCCGTTATCGATTCTCTCGCAGCCTATATTCGGCACAGTGGAGGAGCCTGGCTCGCTCTAGCCCTGCCTCCGGGCTTCCGCTTGTTTACGGAAACTGACAATGCCCAAGCCCCCACAATTGTTTGTAGGTTGTTGTTATAGTTGCAAGGTGGTGCGGTTTGCTTTCCATTCACCCATTTTTATTTTCGCCAACTGAATTCCGCTGGATTTAAGTCACATTCCGAGTCGGCAGCACGC